GGGTTTGGGTTCTGAGCTGTCTGGGGGCAGCGGATGGGGTAGGGGTAGGGGTGTTGGTGTTGGACTGTCTAGCCCTTAGCCTTATTTCCCCGGTAAGCCGTTCCTCCATTGCTTGCATCTGCTCCTGGAATTTCTTCTCCAACTGATGGATGAAGCCAACCATGATGCCAACGGTGACGGGGCGTTCTAGTTCCTCCTTTTCTTGTGGTGTGAGCTCGACTTCCGTCCATTCATACAGGGAGGAGGTGGTGGTGGGGTGGTTTTGGCTTTGCGGGGGGGAGTTCAGGTTGTTTGTCGCATTGCCTGTCAGGGTCCCCGGGATTTCTCTTGTCGTTGTCAGGGGGGAGGAGAATCGTACTTGCCTGGGTGCATTCTGGGGGGCCGAGCTCTCCGGCACTTCGCTTGGCTCGAGGGCGTGTTGGCTGTCTCCCAACCTGGTTTGGTCTGTGTTTCTCCCGTTTCCCAGGGACATCGCTGCATCTTGCGTAGCTTGCGTCTCGGTTACTCCGATGTCTTGGGACTGGTCCATGGGCTCATTTATTTCACCCAGCGGCGGGGAGGAGGCTGGGACCTGCGGTATCTGGGATACTGGCACAGGGCTTTCTTGTGACAGGTGGTAGGAGGAGGCTGCCGCTGCCAGGAAGGCTGGGGCGTCAGTGTCGGCTGCGTCTACCGCTTCATTGCCAAAGATTTTCTGGAGCGTGGTCCTGAAGCCTGGAAGTTCCAGCTGGAGTGCCGCTATGGTCGGGGCTTTCGTGTTCCCGGTGAGGAGGACATAGCACGCGCTCGTGCATCCTAGTTCTTGTCTGACCTCAGGGAAGGTGCTTCCCCTGGCCACGATCCTGTTTCCCACGTTGATTAAGGCGTTGGGGCAGCCTCTTTGATGCCTGATGGTGGCAAACATGGGGAGCGTCGAGTTGAGGGATACTCCTTGCGGGGAGCCGGGCGGGAGGAGGCTGGGGGAGTTGATCCTTGGGCTCCTGGTAGGGCTTCTGGGTCCTCCCAAGGGAGAGGGAGAGTGGGGAAGATGCGACAGAGCCGGAGACGAGGGTTGGGAGGTCATGGTGAGTGAGTAGGATGGTCTTATGGCCAGCGTCCTAAACTCTCAGAGGAAATGAAGCCTTAGAATGGAGGGCTGTGATTGGCCACACCATATAAGGGAGGAGTATCGTGAGTGAGAGGGTGGAGTAGTTCTTTGAGTGAAAATTCTGGTTGTACCGGATAAAAAGATGATGTGTACACAAACAAAAATAAACTTGGTGTGGTTGCAGGAATGCCCCGCTAACTGTACTGGAATTTCCGAAATTTTTCTCGCTCCGTGTGTGTGTGTGTGTGTGTGTGTGTGAGATGAGGATCACAAAAACGGATTTTAATTAATTCTACAGGTTCCACGAAACAGTTCCCGGTGTTCAGGAGGAGTGAGATGTTTTAACATTTTGTGGCGTGTGTGTTTGCCGGTACGTACTCGAGTACCGGTGTTATGATGATGATGTGAGGAACAAGCACGATAATGGTTTCCGGGAAAGGAGTTGGGACGGATGGGATATTTGGGAGGGAGGAAGAAACAACGATAATCATATCATACAGCGACTGGAATGATGTCAATGCTCTTCGGGTTAGTAAAATTTTTTTAAACGTCGCAGGTTTCTAAGTGGGCATCTTGTGGGGGGTGTATACCGATCGAGTGCCTATCTCACATTATGATATTTGGGGAGAGGAGAAAAAGAAAGAAAAAAACATCGAGTTCGTACAGTATTGTACTATTCTATTGTACTTTTACTGATTATTCCCTCAGCGAGCGCTCATTTGGGCTGGCCCTGCTCTCCTTCATCCCACGGTTCTTGGGAGTGGACCGTTGAATGGATTGGGAGAGGGATAACTGGCCGGCTGGCCAGCGGGTTGGAACTGGTGATGAATGGCGGTAGACTTTTTCTCTTTCCCTGACTGCGCGCCCCGTGCGCACCGTCATCTTGATCGTCGGGATAAACAAGAGAAGAGGAGGAGGAGGAGCATAGTGCCCGGTGGGGCGTGATAGTGGGGCTTATCATCCTCTTCATTATCTCTGGCTCTGGAGCCACCCATCGGTCAGTAGCATGAGAGGCTCGAATCGTGGGGGAATTGGGTCATTATGGGATATGAATTGGCCTCCCCTGATTTCCATTCTTCCCTTCTCGGCACTTTTATTTGATCACCTGTTTTATGCGTTCCTGACGTAGAGGTGGGTTGATGTGTGTGTGTGTGGTTGATAATCACATAATATCACTCGCAGGAGATTTGCTGTTTTCCGTATTATACCGACATCCGGTAGTTCACGGCGGAAGTGATGACACCGGATGGACAAATGGACGGATAGATTCTTCTCACAGGGGGGCGCTAAACGGCTGGGGGATGGTCCGGCTATCGATGGACTCGATGTAGCAGAACTCCTCCGAGCTCGCCATCAATGCACTTTCCTGGACACTTTCATGAACGAAACGTCAAACAGAGATGCACGAGGTATGGAAAAAATGAGGCAAGAAGAGCAAGAGCGACGATGGCATCATGGGTCCGGATTAGGAGCAAAATAAAGACTCGAAAGGGAATCTGGGGGCGCAAGATGGTCCCCGTATCAACATTTTTTGTATTGTCACAGGTAAGCATTTTTTGCCTACCTAGTCATGATCGAGGAGATAAGACTTTATGCATTCTAAAGGGATAGAGTATGAAGCTAAAAAGGGTAAAGCAGTGGAAAAAACAACAACACCGGAACCCGTAGAAACTTAAAATCCTCTAAAAAAGCCCACTCGCGGACAGGTGCACACGCGACCTTCTGCCTAAGGAACAAACATGACCATAGCGACCAAAATTAGGCAAACTATTATCCAGGAGGCGAGACTTAGAATCCGCTACCACCACCACCACCACTGCTACTGCTACTGCAGCCACCACCACCGCCACCACCACTGGAGCTGCTGCCGCTGCTGCTATGATAGCTGCTACTGTGATGGCCTCCAGAACAAGATATGGAAGGGGTGGTTTCTCCGAAATGGGAGCCCGGGGATAATGTGCTGTGGGATCTAATACCGGAACTATAGCTGGGGCTTGGTGCCGACAGGTACGTGGTGGATGGAGTTGGTTTGCTAGGAGGGGTAGTCGTCTTTCACGGTATTAGTGATACCCAGAGTTCCATGCCTAGCACTTGAACACAGATGTGGACTTACCTGGGGTTTCTCATTCTTGGTCACGGGCGTGTTGTCCATAGCAGCTGCTGCGGTGATGTGGCCGTCTAGCCTAATGTTTGGAGGCGGCTTATAAACCGGTACCGGAGTCGGGGGAGAGGTCGTTGAGGTCTGCAAGTCGTTTCACTCGTTAGAGAAGAAAAGCTAGACTTATACCAGGACTACTCCAAGGGAACTTACTGAAGCCGAGACCGGTTTCTCAGCTGCATTGGCTGTACTTTTCTTGAGTTTGCGCCTCCAGATCTTGGTGAATCCGAAACACATTGTTGGATCGTTGGTGTCTATACGAATGGGAGAGGAGGATAGCAGGTATGTTTATGATATTGAGGTGTTTTTTTTTTCAGAAGAGGTATCTTTCTCTGACGAGATGAAAGGCGAATAATGATGGGGGGAATTGGGAGATTGGGCTTGCCCTTTTAAAGTTGTATTGGAGCAGTTATTCCAGGCTCCCGGAGTCCGCCCTGAGATGTCTTTTCAAGAGCTCTTCTGGCTGCTGGTGAGAATGGCATGGTTATTTCCCCGACCTCTAGATACATGTCTCCTATGCGTCACAGGTACAGTTGCTACGCCTTCAGAAATACGGTTGTCGCACAAGGTAGTCCTCTCGACACTGGAGTGGCATTGGCACTCGAGAATTTTGTTGTGTCATCTGGTATCCTGACTCTTCTGGGGCGATTCGAGTGGTTTTCGTTACTGACGGTTAGGTCCGGTCTTTCCCTGTGGCTTTGGCGGATTGTACGAGCACAGGGTCTAAGGTTTTCGGGGCAGCGCGTGTGGCGAATGGGTACCGAGTTGAGTTAGGATAACAAGGCACACTGGTGTTGGGGAACTGGAATCGGTAAGTGACCAATTAAATGGAAGTGTTCACTCCGTGGTGTGACGATGAGTGTTTTGAACAACTCATTCGCCCCTGGGCAGTGCTAGGTTAACTAAGCTTAAGCTTTGAGGCTGAGTCATGTCACACCAGTTGATAGGCGAAACGTTGATTCTCGCCGTTTTCTAGAAGCAGTGACACGGTGCTCGGAGGGCGGTTTCAGCATACGATAGGAGGAGATCCAGGTCCAGTGAGCGTCTTCAGAGAGCACTCTGAGGGTTGACCAACATCACTTGGCATCACTTAGAATCACTCGGCGGACGTTATAGAAGGTAACTGGCTTAGGTTTTGGTGGGTTGAGTCTACCTATTTTTTTTTCTTTTTTTCTTTCTGCCCTGGAGAAGTGCACTAATCAGAGATCGAATTAAGTAATTACTAGAGAGCAAGCTAGTTCAAGGTATGTATCTTCAGCCCCTCGAGTTTCCACCAACGCCCAATCATGTTTAACCGCCACATCCACCACAACCACCACATCCTCCACAGCCGGCGTCTCCTCCACCACCTTCGGCTCCACCACCGTCAAGACCACTTCCTCCATGCTATTGTTATCATATCTTGTTAGCAAGTTTCGAGCGGTGTGTTGGGGAATTGGTAGTAAACATACGTTGGTGGACGACTTTTTGGGCTTCGCAGGCTTTGGCTTCTTGACTCTGGTAGACGGTTCATTCCCGGTAGAGCTTTTCTTGCCGAAACACATCGTGATGGCTGTTTGTTTGTTTGCAGGTTTTATGGAATTCTGGGGATGTAATAGCGCTAGGTGTAGTGTTTTTGTAGGGAGAAGGTGTCAAGAGCGGAACTCGAAGCAGTAGGATTTAGCTGGGTTGGCTATTAGAAGGTAGGAAAGGAAAGGGGGAGTTTCCATAAATTTAAGCAAGTTTGAGCGCCTGTCGTGCACGCGTCCAGGTACCTGCAAGTCCTCCTTTAGCCAGACAACTCGCGCGTGATCTCAAGCCTCTGAGTACAAAGGATGGCGGGTCGGGATGCATCATCACACAAAAAAAAAAAAGCCACTTGGAATTCGTCTTCTCACTCGCTTGTGGAACCTCACTCACTCACTTTGAGGCTCTGCTCCAAGAGGTATGTTTTCCTGGTAAGGCTTACTTTGTAGGTTAACTTATGATACCAGCTCAGCAACTTGTCTGCCTTTCAGCACCTAAATTCTCGTAGAACAGGCTCTGATGTGAAAACCTGAGCTATAAATATAGCACTATTCCCCCGCAATCGTCATGAACTAGAGTTCCGGACTAGTTAGAGTGCCACGAATTGTCCCTGCTTCCCCCCCCTCCCGGACAGGCCTAATTTTTTCTTGCTTTCAATTTTTCCTATCGATAAACGAGCTCATGTTGTGCTTCTAAAGGTTCTATGTAAACCTCCACCCCTGCAAACGGAGTGCAGTGGCTAAGCTATAGCCAAGAAGGTGGGGTAAATCGATCGACTGAATGGCGAATTCTCATTCATCGTCTTCGAGATTGTGCTATATTCCTTCCTCACCCCCTCCGCACCAAGTAGAGCTGGTTACGTCTCCAAGAAAGGCAAAAAGTGCAAATCTCGATAATCCTGTTATCGTTAGTATTTCGTTACACCCACGCACCTGGAGGATTTCGGTTGGAGGGTTCGCGGCGATGAGGAGAGTGAATATATCAGCCGTTTGTGGTGATGGTGGGGATCAAATACGAGGAGGTTTCTATCTACCATATCGTATCGTATTCATATATGATATCCATCTGCTGGACGTTTCTATATTTTCCGGGGCAGTCGCAAGGTGCATTGGATTTGTGCAACAGAATGGGGTGGGGAATGGAGAAATGTCGTTGTCGACTTGCGGTATCATGCGGGGTGATTTTAACTGTTACCTGGGGCTGAAAGACTGTCCTTTTGCTGCTGCTGTTGTGTCGTCTCACTTTATCCGCAGGGGGAAATTCTGGACGTCATAGCGTTACTCCTGACCATCCTGGCTTTTCACAATCAGGCTTGAAGTCTTACTCGCTCACTCGGCAGTACTAGTACTGTACTGTGCGAGTACAGTGCAAGAACCTGCAGGGTATGATAAAAGCCCTTTGGATCCACTATCGCTCATATTCCTCGGATCCCCCCGATCGGAGAGACAAAAAATCTCGAGAGGGAATGGTGTTGTCTGGATAGAGTAAGCTTGGGGAGGCTGAGCCTATCAATCAACCGGTAGCTTATTCGTTATTTTGTCAACATACTCTGCTAAACCAGTTTTGGTTTAGAGAGCGACTTCTGTTGAGATATCCGACAGTGGCTCTAAAGGGTTTTTTTTACGGTACTCTACGACGGTGTATTTGTTGTAGCCGTCTACCGGTATCTTTCCTCATCCCTTCATCCGCCTTGTGTAGTGATCCGGGGGGGGGGTTATGATATTTATCCAGGTATCATCTGGGCAAAGCTTAGGTAGCAAAGAAAGCAGCAGAGAATACTACAAGACAGGAACCGAGAAACACCGACTACTTTTGAATCTCGAATAGTTGGAACGGCACTATAGTTTAGAATTTCCTTCCTCTGGAGGGGGTGTGACAAATTGTCTAGTCGTATAAAAGGTAAAAAATGAAATAATACAAGGCGATAACCAGAGGACAACTTGAACGCCATAGCGCACGGTTCAATCACTTGAACCCTTTTACAGGCACCGGTAATTGGACGAGCAAAAGACCATGCAGTCCCGAACAGTTTACCTGTACCAGCACTCGCACTGTGCTGTACTGTACTAGTACTGCCTAGCGGTAATGTGACACAGGGCCGAGTATTGGCTTGGCCTGGCTTGGGACGCCGGGGCGGAAGCGATCCGGCAGACTCCAAGGCTTACCAACAATACAATAGCCTAAGAGTACTGTATTCGGCGCCCGGCGGATGGAGAGGGGTGGCATGCTGTACCGCTATGATACGACGTCGACAGCACACCACGCTGTTGCCGCAGACATTGATGGCCGGTTCCGCTTCTATCTCGCTTCGCTTGTAGTCGGGCAAACTACAAAGGCAAGTGTAACGCAACACAGATTTTTCACATTGTTATCTGTGCTCGTAATGTCGTGACATTTGTGAATACGAGCAGATTTGCAGTAGAGTGGATTGAAGAATATCAGTGTGCGTTCCAGAAATTAACCAATTAGAGAGGAATATCTTGTATATTGGTTAGTAAATAAATATATAGGAAGTTTATAATAATAGTGGTAAAGGACACTTATGCTTTTATTCATTCATTCAAAGTATAATAATATTATGATACAAAAGAATTGCTAATAATATTATTATTTAAACAGAGCAGTTATGTGTAGGTAAAAATAGTGCTAGAAAGTTATGTACACCAGAGACTATTGCTGCTCTACTGATATATGTAAACAGATTAAATCAGGCTCTTACTGAGGTGAAAAAGACTTACTCTATTAGAACATAAGTAGAGAGTACAAAGCATTTACTGAATGACTAATGTACAAGTTGTAGGATTTGAGGTTGGTAAATATATTTATTTCTATTTATAAACCTTTTTTGTATATAATTAACTAGATGAATAAATTAAAAATCAATTTAGAGATTTATTGACTCAGATGAATTGTTTTCAAAGTATGATACCTCTGTTATAAAGATACTATTTAAGCTGCTATACTTAATATGTTGAATTACAACAATTTCCTATTCCATAATCCATATGACTCATAGGTGTGAAGTAGTTATATGCTATATATGTATAATATTTACTATAGATAGATATTTTCTTAGCATAAGGTAGGTTTTATATAACCTATTATGTGTATATATAGATAAGTAAGAGAGATAATATTCCATTTATTTAATGTATTCTAAGACTAGCTAAGGTATACAGGTCAGATTAGTATATACTATATAGATATAAAACCTCCTCTCCTTCACAGATCCTGGCAGCCAAATGAAAAACTATTAAACTAGAAAGGCAAATACCAGCAAATAGGTGCCTGATTCTTAAATCCCATGACTTGATTATGGAAGAATTTTGCTGAGAGTCACTAATATTCAACAAGCAGTTAGTATAAAGAACACTTCTGAGTAGTAACCATATAGTAATCACAGTCAGAAAATCATACTCCAGTCATCAAAACTAAGAAAATTATCTAAAACTGACAGGTGACACTCTGTAAATATATACTGAAGAAAAAACCCAAATAAAAAAAAACCTTATAAACTTCAGAATATAAGTCTAAAACCATATAGCCTAGATGACTGGGTCAATAAAATCTCAGAAATTTATTAACAGCTGATATGTAGTATGAAATGAATAAATGTATTAATAGATATATAGTCCAGTAGTGGAAGTAAGGGGTGACCAGGAAGTAAGGAGAAAACTCCTTCCAAGGCAAAGAAGTAAGTACAATGTAGTACACAGAGGCAAAGTCTATCTGTTATGAGGAGCAGGGATGAAAGTGTTAGGAATGCCGGATCCGATACCTAGGAACCAGCCTAGATAGGGTAACCTTACTTGGAATCGGAATCTCTGGTCTCCAACACCCC